TTTTTTTTTTTTTTTTCCCCCCCCCCCCCCCCCCCGTCACAGTTTCTGTTTCTCTCTCCCTCTCCCTCTCCCAATTAAAGCAAGTTTTAAAATGTACACATTTCCTTAAGTCTACTTAATTTGAATTGTACTCTAAGCTCACCGAGTCAGTGATTGCACACTTTCCCCAAAGGCCAGGATGTAAGGATTGTTTGAATTTTATCTTCAAGGACAGAAATAATTGTATAAAAGCTGGATTGGTAAGTAGAGCAAACAACATTTATTCTGTTCCTGCTTGTTGCTAGGCAACACCCTCTCCAGTTCCGTTTGGAGTGATCAATGAGTTCAGCAAATGAAGAGAAATTAATGACGCAGGCTAAGACCCTGCCTGCAGCTTCATTGCCATAGTGACCACCCTGCTCAGTTTCAGACACTGAATGCCTTGCTGTATTTGAGGAGGGAAAGGACCAAATGAATAGGAAATATCAATTTGATTTCCTGTTTCGTTTTAACCATCTGTCCAGGCATTGGGTATGTGGATATGCTGTTCTTCTCCGTATATGTAAGGCACAATGAATCTTTCAGTTTCTCACCAGTAAAATTTAAGGGCTATATTTCCACAGTTTCATCAACAACATAGTGTTAACTATGGATCTTGGAACCAAATGAACAAGGTCAGTCACATGTGTGTCCTATCAAATAAGGCATCAAATGGCTAGATCAGGGCAGGAAATATAAGCAGTTAAGTTGTGTTTTGTTTCAGGTTCTATATTTTTCTGAGGAATAAAGCAATTCCCTAGTTCCTAGAAGATAAACCATTATCTTTGTTTTTATTTGTTTATTTATTTTTTAGTGTTTTAAGAGCAAAATGTTCTCTGTTCAGCTTTGGAATTGCTGCAAAGTGTTCTAAGGGGTCCAAGACTACCATTCCCCAATGGCCATGGGATTGAGGATTTTAAGGGTTCGGTCCAATGCCTTTGGGGGCGCATCTGGTTGGACACAGCTATATTACTGTACTACATCAATCTATGCTCAAAATAAAAAATGACCATGAAGAATTGCAATTTGAACATGTTAAAACCTCAAAGTCTCCAGTGGGACTTTTGGAGAGAAAGATGATATAGATTAAAGGAAAGCAAAGTACCACTGAATTTTTCACCAGATGTTCACATGTCTTAGTGATCCTAACGGGGGAAGATTTAATATTAATCATTTGTATATACAATACCACTACATTTCAATGTTACATATATGCAGTATAGCAGAGCATTTTTTAAGTCCAGCCATACAACTGGGAGTCTTCCTTTTAGCAGAAGTTGCTGTTTTTGTGCCTTTGAGTCAGTGTTGACTCCCAGCAACTGCCTGGACAAGTCCCTGAAGTTTTCTTGGCAAGATTTTGGAAATGGTTTGCCCTCGCCTCCTTCCTAGGGCTAGCCCAAGATCACCTAACTGGCTTTGTGCCGAAGGCAGGAGTGGAACTCACTGTCTGTCACTTTCAAGCCTGATGCCTTAACCGCTACACCAAACTGACCCTCTTCAGCAGAAGTATTTTTCTGATTTCTTAAATTATTCTGTGTAACAAATAGAAAACTGCAGATTTTAAGCTTTTAGAAGAATACATACCTAGGATAGGGGGGTCCTTTCTCTTGGGAGGCTTGGGATGAGATGCTTCCATCAATGGAATTTCCACGGTGGCAACCCAGGAAGGGCTGCCTTGGTGGAATGGAGTCCGATTCGGTTGATTCACACACTATCTACAGGCCAGGGAGAAACAATGATAAAATGTACATATATCGTATAGATACACCATTGTGACTGCTAATTCAAGGGGGAGAACCTTCAGATGTTGTCCTGAAAGTTTCTCTAGCCTAGGATGGAGGAAAAATTGCATTCCCCAGTCTTAGACATAAATTGAAATGCAATCATTTTTAGAGCTTGCAGAATGAAAATAAATGAACATGATGAGACATGGGAAGAGAATAATTTGTAGGCACTGTACATCAAGTCCCAGTTCTCCCTGGGATGATTAAATCATGCCTATGCTATATCACTTCCAACTGCAAGTAAAGACTCATATAATTTATTGTATTTTGAATGCTTGCAATTATGATATGTCACCATTCACTTAAAAAACAAAACCATCAAGAGAAAGCTATTTTTAAACAAAAAGTTCAAAGGCTTACTCATTTTCTTAGGGACATATTGTAGGCATGCTCATACAATGGCTGTTGGGGAGTGGGACAGCCTCCTCACAAAGTGGCAGCAGGTATAACACACCCATTCTGGGCATGACCAGTCACAAACACTTAACAGAAGGCCAGCTGTTAAGCTTGCCCTCTGTCATCCCCTCCAGCTTCAAAGATGTTCCCTAGCAGTCCATGATAACTTGTTCCTTTTTTCTGGCTGGGTGGGGACACTTGCAGGCCGCACACTGGGTTGCAGCCAATCATTCTTTAATTGCTAAGAATGCTTATTTTCTAAGAATGCATGAGATGATGCTGGAGGCTGGCACTATGTTTTACAGCATGCCAGCTTCCCATTTATTTATCTGTTTGTTTTAATGACAGATACAGAGCCTGGAAGGCTCAAAGGAACTGTTGCAGGGACACTGGTACCCATGAATGCCATGTTTCCTACCCTATGGTATCAGGGCCTTCGTGCTATGAGCCCTTCACCTGCACTCTGAAATAATATATCCTAGATGAAGAATTGCCATCCTAGCTGCAGCTAAACCCAAGACGGAAAGCAAGAATAAAGCAAATACACAATGCCCTGGAGACCTTCAGGCACTGAATGAAATTGTTTAGGGGCTCTTCACAAAAAGACACCTCAATGTGAATTGTGTGCAACTTTCCCTAAGTCTTCAGATCTTGGCAGCAGGGAGGATAGACGTGCTTCGCCTGCTTCATATTTCCTGGCATCAGAACATCCTGTAAGCGAGCCATGGGCAAAAGGTGCCTCATGGGGGAAACCATGAGGACCAATCAGATGGTCTATGTACACAAATGCCTCTCCCCTGCCTTTTTTTTGTTTGTTTGTTTGTTTTTGGTAGATATTGCTGTTCCAATTTCAACAAGTGTTTATGCAGGGAGATTTTACTGAATTTATTGCCAATTGCTACAATGGAAATACAATTTTTAATGCACACAATCAAGGGTCCAAGTGACAACTTCTTCTGTTTGGAAGCTTTCCATGCTTTTACTGTAGTTCTTCAACCTTTTCTTTTGTCTTCCATGAGGAAGAAAGGATGGATAACTGCACATTAGTTTTTGATTGCTAGCACTACTGGGTGTATGTCCAGAAACACCCTACATAAAATTTCACTAACCTTGTTCTGCCTGCTTACCCTGCCCCCACCATTGATTCCCATTACTCCCCCCAAAACAGTACAGCTTCAGTGGTTACCTCTGTATGCCCAGCATCCAGGTTAGGAGATTCACAAGTAAGGCCCTGGTTTTTGATTGGAGAACTCCTCTTTGCTGGCAAATTCAACAGCTTGTTAGTACAGAAGCTACATGATTCAAATTTTAACAATTCTGATAGCAGACTATACATTAAATGACCCTACTGTTCTTAATCGTACATGAGTAACTAGTTATCCTTTTTAATCAATACAGCACTATATGTTGGAGAATCTAGAATTATGGATCTCACAATCCTAACTGTATGTTATTGTAAACATTGGGCACACAGCACTGTTGGTGAGCTCAGAGTTAAAACTGGGAGGTGCTATTCTCTGCTCTTAAGGGACTATAAGAAGTGGTTTATGGTAACTGGGTTTTTTGAGGAGGGGGGTTGTTGGATATATGTTCTGCGCCTCATTAGTATTACAACAAAAAATAAAAGTTGGTTCACTGCATATGAAGTTGGCCTCTGTCTTTTGGGTGAAGCTAGGAAACACTTTTATTATTATTAATACTGTACTTGAGAGGCTGGGACATAATCATTGATAGAGGCTGATAGCATCTGAATATTTCCCATTTTTGGTCCTTCATATATTTCTCTACCATTAGGCTAAATGAGATAGCTACTTTGGATGGAAGAGACTGTACATGCTAGAGAAGAGCAGCAATGTGTAAGAGATTGGCAGAGCCTGTGCTCCTCAACTTGCCCTGGTCCTTTAAGTTAACCTGCTACCTACTGGCACAATGGACTTGAAGAAAAAGCCAACTGCTGACATGAAGTGAGGGGGCCCCTTTCGGTTCACTTGCAACATCAGTAGTAGCTAACCCTGACAGTATTTCAGCTCCCCTGTATTTCTGGAAGCACATGGTGTAGCCATGCCAAGCAATGAATTATAGAATAAAATTACCCCACCACACCATTAAGACAAATGAATTCTATTTCATATGCAACATTCCACTCTGTCAAGGTTCTCAACAAAAACTCATGCCATCAATATTTCTCTTAAAGCATTTAAATATGATCCCTGTAAAATTCTAGGAATGGGGCCACATGTGAAGTATATAATTTAGTACTGCAGTCTCATGTAGCCCTCAGAATCTGACCCCAGCATATGTGGAGGGCACTTATATTTTAAAATCTCACAGATCTGTCCTCTAATCATGACCCACTTCTATCTTATTTTTTAAAAAAGCAAGGAGATAATATCTCTTGGAAATGTAGTAATGCAAAACAGGAATCATTTGTTGCATATTCTAGTAGGAAACTGAACCCAACGATAGTCTTAAGAACATATTTCCACTCTGTTTTGCTGCTCCATCCCCAATTCACTTGTGCTCCCCCAAGTCATTTGGGCAAGTGCAAAGGCTTCTACATATTTCCTAAAATAGTTCCTGAAATTAGGTTGTTTCCATGCAGACCATTTATTGTGCAATTTTCATGGCTCATTCACAGAATTCTGCAGAGGGTCCAAATTATGATATTTGCAACGAGTGATTAAGCTACTCAGGTTTTCCTGACACTTTTCCCTTCTTTCTTCTTGCCAGGAAAAAAAAATCTATTGAGGATGGAGAGGCAGAATAGCTTAACCTTTAGCGCTAGGAATTCTGTTTGTAAAAGCAATGCAGGCAGTAGAAAGCCTCTCTTCACTGCCATCCTTTCAAAAACCATGCTGATCCAGCAGTCATAATTGCAGTGTGTATATAGATGGAAAAGACCTTGATTTAGTGTGCACTCATGTGCACACATACACATGTACACATACATGCACACTCACACACACACACAAACCTGTGATTATATTCCTGATGGGCTTAACCAGTGCGGTAAAGGCAGTGACTTCTGGCTGCCTGTGTTCCCACATTGGCTGCCAAATAACAAGACCACTGGCAAGACGAAAAGTCAGATCAGATTCCTAAAAACATAACAGCAAGTTGTTAGATTATTCTAAGGAAAAAGGATATCTATATATGTGTAGAATTTCCCAATTCCAAAGCTGATTCATTTTTTTTCCCCACATAAAAAGTATCCCTGGTTCCAAATTAGCACTCAGATAAGGGGATGCATGGGAATCAATTTAATTTACTGGTTTTAAGTAGAGTACGTTGATGGATCTAAGAAAATACAGCTCATAAGTGGGTTGGGTTCGCTAACTACATCAAAAATTAAACCCTAAAATGAAGTATGATTATTCCACCATCTCTTTTTTCCCCTTTGTTTAGTTATATTACCCAATCAAAAAAGTTGTGGAACCTGTAACCCTTGTGATTGGTCAGATCTTTTTGGTATAGGCAATGCAATGGATCCTCTGGAAGACAGCACTTGTTCAATTAAAAATGAATGGGGGAGGTGTGAGGCCAGTACTACCCCAGAGAGGTTCAGGGAAGTAGTGCTCACCCCACTCTTTTCTGCCCTTTTTCATCTCCTGTGTAGCCCCAGTGGAGGAGAGGAAGCTGGAACAATAACAGAGTAGCTATAAAAGACCCACTTTGGTGAATGTCTTTAGGACTCAGAAGAGACAGAGAAGTAGTTTGCAAGACCTGGAAGACATTATTTTAGCCTCAAGCAAGATTCAGTCTGTTTGGAACGAAAATGAACTCCTTAAGGGTTAATTGGCTGGATCAGTTAGCTGCTTTTGAGAGTTTACAGAACATCCTGGCACTGCTAATTGTGTCATGTGAACAAGGCCACGTTGGATAGCCTTCACCCTCCAAACCAAAAACAGAAAACATGATCAGAAGCTCTAAGTGTACTTTGTCACTTTAAATACCTCAACAAACTATGACTAAGGCTCCGTGGGAGAAAGAAGTTGTCATCTTTGGGGGAAAAACAGAGAACAATACATGGCTCTTGCATAATTCTCAGCATGCTTTGAAGTCTTGGACTTAAACTTGCCAGCCTCCATGTCATTGGTAGGAATAAGCCTAAGGAGAAGTAAGGCAGGGCCATGTATGAACTTGATGAAACTAGAGGTAGCAGAATCTCAATGCCCCATGCTAGTTTGGTTGAAGAAGAAGCACAGCAGTCACTACTCACTTATAGAGATAATGCAAGAATATCAAGACACTCTGTTTGGGGAAAACAAGTTCATATGTCCAGTAAGATTACCATCTTTTTCTAAAGATGTTCTATTTATGGCAGGCAGAAAACCTGGAAGCTGGATGAGTTTGAAGCTAGATGGTTGACTCTTTGCACTAAAGGGGACCAATTCTGCAACCACCTCACACCCTTCCATATATAAATCAAATAAATAAATAAATAAATAAATTCCCTAATAGATGCAACATGGGTGGAGACATGATGGTAAAAAACAAACAAACCAGACTAAGAGTTTCTTGTATGCCATATGCTATATCCATGAAACACCAAGGCAGCAGATATGCAAGGCAGTAGTTGTTCATTATGATAGCAAAACATGCCATCTCCCTTACAGCTGCCACTTGTTTGACTATAGAGACTTACTTTAATCCTATGAACCAGAGGAGCAAATAAGAATACAAAAAGCTCCACAGTGGCCATTGAATTCTGAAAGAACTTCCTTCTGCTGTTCTCTTCTTCCTCATTGGTGCTGTCACATCTCGATTGCTCTGGAGATCCTTGGTTTTCAATCTGGTGGATAAAAGCACTGCTGCTTCCTCTCCAACTTGATCCTCTGTCTCCTGATCCTCCAAAGAGGTCATTGCTGCAGTCTTGAGGTGCTTCTAGCAACATCCAATGGAGAGTGTGAAGGAGTTTTGTCTCAGCAACACCAAGTTTGTCCTGATGTCCTAGGTGGAAAAAGATTGTGGGGACCATGATTAGATGGTGCACCTTGAGAAGAATCTCTCTCAACTTGTTTCCCATAATGCCAAGCACATCCTACCATACATATTTAGCAGTCAGCTAAGTCTTCCTTACTTGCTACCCACTTTGAGCATCTAGAAAGACATTGTACATGGGTACTATGTTTTATTTGACTTGGTAATATATGAACTGTTCTCCTTTAAATAGTTTCTAAGGCTACTTCTAAATCATTGACATCTTCATTTCTTCTATGCTCTGATAAACCCAGTTAATGTTTCAAAGGTATCCATGTAAGCAGTGTTTCTCGGACTTTATCTTGTATTTACATTGTATTGTATTGATGGATGGATAAGACTTGTGTTTTTCTATTGGAAACATGCTTTTAATTATATTTTAACCTGTCCTGTAAAAATATAAGCGATTATCCCCTTCCTGAGGATTTTTACTGCTTACGATATTCTTACTGTTATCATGCAGGTTTTAAAATCCAGCTGACTTCCTATCATATTTTTGTGACTGACTGCATCCTTCCATGGTCCACCAAGCTGCTCCCTATGACAAGGCTCTCCATTATCAAACCCTTTAACTCTCCATCCTTCTTGTATCTTCATCTGCAATCCCTTTCCTATACAACCATCAGTTCATCTTGCCCTCACAGTTTACTATGCCATCATTTGCACAAAAGCAAATGTGCATGAAAGCCTGCCTGCCTGCCTTCCTATTCTTTTTCTTAATAGAGCTAAAATGCAAGTCATAGAACTTTAACCTGAACTGTATTTAGTCAGTTTTGATCATAATTGATAACATAATGTCTAACCACAGTTGTTTTTAAAATCACAGATGTGCACTGACCTAACTTGTTCCGGTTGGAAAGCAGAGTGGCTGTGCAGTGAAGGACATGTGGTAAGGCAGCTTGAATCAATTCCCAGCGTGAAATGCTCTGGATGGCTTCAGAAAGAGCTGGTGAAAGACCATGCAGCTTGTTTTCAACCAAAACTCTTTCAAAAGACTAAAATGAAATGAGGGGGAAAAAACCTTAGTTTAGGTTTTTGAAACTTTTACTATATTCCCTTTTTATGCACTTTGCTGCTCTCCATGAAATATAAACATTCCACAAGAATTAAATATTTTCTACTAAAGGCAGATCTTTCATGTGACATTTTGCCCTCCTGTTTCCTGCAGCAAATATCAGCAAAGAATAGACAGCACGCATTTATCTTTTACATTTCATGTAGATGTATCAGGGAACTGGTTGGACCATGGCTTTTGGACTCATGGCTCTATGTGCTAAATAGTACACATTTACTATCCATGCTTGAATGCTTGTCTTACAAACACAGCAATTATGCTTGCTGAATTTTCTCTTATGCTAAAATTCATGACTTTATTTTCTAATAAGATATTTCTAAAGGATAAGACTTTTGCTAAACTGGAAAGATTTTAATGGTGGCATTGCTATCATGATGGACTCACAAATCGATCTGGCGCTGCTTTTCCCTTCAAATGAACTGATAATCTTAGAGGTTCACATCCTTTTGCCACACACAAATATGTAGTTTTGGATCATTTTCCTCAATAAATCAATGAACAAATATAATATTTTGACTTATTTGTTTAATTGGGTTCTGATTGCCTAGTTTTAGGACTTGTTTGGAGAACAGATCATGTTTTAGGTCATATTTATGCAGAAATATTGAAAATTCAAAAGAGTTCATACACTTTTAAGCACCACTGTACCTGTTCATCATCCTATGACTAAGAGCACCAAGTAATAATTTGCATATCTAAATAGCCTCTCCTGGATATAATCCAGCAGATTCCATATCTTTCCAATATAAGTGTGTTTGCTTTTCTCTTTTCTTCATAGTAAGTGTTTCATATTGGGTGAAGGTTCTTAACACCATTAATAATATGTATGGATGTGTGCAATCCTCCAAACTAATCCTGTTATCAGGGGATATTTTTTGTACAGTAGGTTTAAATTTTACTTGAAGATTCATTGGACATTGTTAACATTGTAATTGGCAGGATTTGGAAGACAACTCATTCAATTGCAACGCAGGCTTGCATCTATTTTCAGGCTGAGCAGGACACATGTGGGAGACTAATTTCCAATAACTAGATGGGGCTAGGACAAAGAAAAGAAATGGGACAAAAGTGTGATTTAAAATTATTGTAATTAAACAATAACAATATTTATTCTATGTTTAATTTGGAGTATTTAATAATTCTCTCACTTCATCTCACTGAAACTTGCAATTCAGTGGCAACCTCTAGAGAATTTCTAGGGACTGTATCAAGGGGTTTTGGGGAGGGTGTGGGGGGGGTAGTTGGGAGGTCCTAGGCAGAAAACCTCTGAGATACAGAAGGCACTGAGGAGGACCCTTTAAAAAATCTGGCTATGGTTCAAAATAAAGAGGGGGGAGAACTTTCTTATGTTCTTGATTCAATATTTTGAAAAGAATCAGTTCTTGTTGTCTGTTTCTGGCCATCAAGCAAAGTAAACATGGACAAAAATGTGTGAACAAGGGCAATGTCTTCCTTGTTTCCAGGTTTGCAGAATCTTTCTACAATAAACAGAACTGTTAAAAGACTTGCAGCATATTTTAAGCCATATAACTATATCATATCATCATGAACCTTTTAAAAAATAAAATATTAAAGAACATAGTACTATTTTTTAAAATAACATGTTCTGACACCATAAGAGTTCTCCCCAAGCTGATGAACTCCTGAAATGTTGGGATTGCAGCTCCAAAAATTTCCAGGCCAAGCATGGCCAAGACCATTCCAATATATCTGGATTGTACTAGGTTGAGGAAGGGCAGGTTATTCTGTTTGCATGCAACAATATGTTGTTATGTTACAATATAGCCTCCGCTCACACTGAGAATGGCAATAGTCTAGTCAACTTTAAAAGAAGCTCTAATGGAACAGAATTAAAAATGCACTTAAGCATTCCATTGGAATCAATGGAACTGACATGCACTTAAAATTGAGAGAGATTGTGTTAGCAGTTTTATTCATCTTTGGCATGAAGCAATCCTTATCAAAATGTCCTTTGAAAAGATCTTTCCATGAGTATAAAGAAGAGCTTGCAAGTAGACAAGTGGACTCTAAGCAACGATTCTATATCTTCCCACAAATATTAATCATATTCCTTTCACCAGGATGTACAAACAAGTCTATGATTTACTAGTGTTCATATGCTGATCTCTTGATATTTGAGAGCTTTTTTTTTTTTTTTTTTTTTGCCTTCAAGACAGTTTTTGACTCCTGGCAACTGCCTGGACTAGTCCTTGCAGTTTTCTTGGCAAGGTTTCAGAAGTGGTTTGCCCTCGCCTTCTTCTTCCTACGGCTGAGAGAAAGAGACTGGCCCAAGGTCACCCAGCTGGCTTCATGACTAAGCAGGACTAGAACTCCTGGTCTCACAGGTTCTAGCCTAGTGCCTTAACCACTACTCCAAACTGGCTCATAACGGCTTGTAATCAATGCAGAGAAATCCTTAACAGCAATTGAGCATTTGCTAGCTGATCCATTGTAACTGACCTCCAAACCTTCCTACATGCTCACCAAGGTATCTGTTTTTATCCCCAGGTCAACTAACTTCCTCTTATTTTGCTCAGGCCCAAATTGCTGGAGAGTTTAAAAGTGTTAACTGAGATACATAGTAGGAGGAGAGTCATGTTAGTCTACGAAGGCAAAAAATCAGTAGGAGTCTGGTAGCATCTTTTCTGACCAACAAACTTTATTAAAAGCTGCACAAAATTTACTGCACAAAAAGGTATACTGCTTATACCTTTTAATACAACTGATTAGGCAAAGGGGCTACCAGAGTCCTCCTGAGATATATAAGATCAGCCGAATCAGACTAGAGTATTTTTCAGTGTTACTTTTTCCCACTTTCTTGTTTCCAAACTTCTGGTAATAGAGCAACAGGATCAGTAATGTGATTATGAAAACTGGGGTGGAAAAAGACCTAAAGGCAGTATTAACAAGAAATATAGATGACTCTCAAAATGGAGCTTAGCAACAATGCTGGGAAACCATTGGAAGAGACAATATAGTTGAAAATTTTAACTTTCCAATAAATATTACTAGTAAAACACTTACTGTAATTCTGATGTTATTCAGTATGACTAAATTGCCAAGTGAAAGAGACATGGGCTGCTATATTCAAGGAAACAGTAGCCAGCTTCTAACCTCTTGTTAATTCACACCCAACAAGCTTCATAATTGTTCAGAAATAGTTTGATACATATGTTATCTTACTTAAAATGATTATGGATTAGGAATTTGACAAAATGATCTCAGACAATCAAGTAAACTGGAGCGGGGCATGTATTAAAATTATGGGTTGTCCTATAGTAGAATACCATACAGGCAAACAAACTTTGGGGGACCGAAGAGGACAACAGTGAAGGAGACAATGATGTGATGATATCATCAGAATTGACAGGATTTGAGTGAGGAATTGAGTGAAATAAGAAGAACTAAAAAGTTTGCTAGAGGTGTTCGATGAAGGACTTTATGGGGAATCTCTAACAAACTTTCCCTTCAAACTAAGGGTTTGTACTTGGCTAACATGAGAGCTTGAGAAGGAAACAAGAAGAAATAATGTATTCTAAGAAGCTAATGTGAATGTAAAGAAACAGGAGTCTACAATTGTGACCTGCAATGCTGGTGCCATGTTTTTTTCCTGCCTGAAAACAACTTGGCATATAATTTATAGCAAATGCAAGCTTGTAGCAGATCTGGAACAAACAAAAAATCAAAAGTATTCAAGCTGTAAATAACTAACTTTCACTTGGTGATAAAGGATGGGCATTAATCAATTCAAGGAAAGAAAGTTCTACAGGAAAAATTTTTAGTGGAAGCTCCTCTTCATAAAGAAGCCAGTCAGACTTAACAGTGAATCCAGTGGATGAGAGTAATAACCAAAAAACAAGAGATGTGAAGATATTCCACAATGCTGAAACTCAGAAACAATCTTCAGTCTTGCAAGGTCTTGCAAATGAAACAAGTTCTAAGCATTCAGGAAAAGAAAAACAGACTACGCAGAATGGGGAATAGGGTGGTGGATCCCTATAGGACCAAAAAGATGCAACCATGCCTTATAAGAAGACAGAACAATTGTGGTAGCTGATGACTCATGACTGCTACGAAATGAAACATAGATATGAACTTGACAGAATACAGTTGCCCCCAAGCCTTTACAGTAATCTTTCTCTGCAACTTGGTGGTCTCATGGAAATTGCAAGCAAAACTTAGTAAGATGAAGAATGGTTTCTGACAGCCTAAGAGTCAGGTGCTTTATATGTGTGTGTTCAAAGGTTTAAATCTAGAACTTTCTCTTTTCTTTTGCAATGACTTGGCGCAGCCCATTTCTCATGCTGCATCTGACCAGTGTTTACAAAATGGGCTGTCTAATCCTGGGCTTTTCATTTCCCACCTTGCTAGTTCCGCCCTCATAACAACTTCCATGATTTATTAAGTCCACTGACAACTATCCCTTTATTCTACAGTAATACACGTGGGGACAAACGATGCTTCAAAGAATAGCTATGACCATATCACCATGATCTCTGAAAAATCTCTGACGTTTAAAAGCTTGGGGGCTTGGATTATATTCTCGTCCATTTTCCCAGTCCATGAAAAAGGATCTGAAAGGGGGAAAGGAATGCTGCAAGTCAATGATTGTCTACCCAAATGGAGTTGATGGAAGATAGTTGCTTTCTGGGACCATGGTTTGCGTCATCTAAGTGACAAATTGCTGACAAAAGATTAGTTGCATCTAACAAGGGGGGAGAAAAATGTGTCTCACCAATGCATGATGAGCTTCATTAGGAGTGTTTCAAAATGAATCTTGTAGGAAAGGAAAATGAAATCTCTGCAGTAAGGACATCAGATAAAAAATTATGCACTGCAGAAACTGGAAATGTTGCTGAAAATACATGCAAATGCTCAGAGCATGGGAAATAAACAAGATGAGCTTGACCTCTTAGCACA